TTTTTAACAGACTCGTTTTGTCGCGGGCACTCAATAACCGCGAGAAAACAGCAATATAGAAACTTTGTGGTGATTAATAGCACATCATCAATATCGCAGTAATAAGATTTGCGAAAACGCGAGTACATATTGAACAAGAGAGCGAATCTATTTAAAAAAAAATCCAAATGCATTCCGCACACACACACACACGCGCGCGCAGGGGGGGGGGGGGCAAGGGGGCCTTCGGCCCCCCTTCCTGCACCCTCCTGGGTGCGGAAGGGGGATCAAAGCCCCCCCCCCCGGTATGTGTGTGTGTGTGTGTGTGCGCGCGCGTGCGCGTGCTTCCTGTCCATGCATATACTTTGGTATATTTCATAACTTTTTTTGTTAATAACTTTTTTTTGGGCCTCCCCCAACTAAAAATGGTTATTTATATTTTTTTCTAAACATAGAAAGTCCGTAAAAAAATGTGCAGCCCATTTACAGGTGGAGCCATGATTCTGGATAATTACCAAAAGTATATGCGTGGAAGCAGTATGTTCCGCCCCCTCTGCGGGAGGGGCTCCACTATCAAAAAATTAGACACAGGTGTGCGTTGAACCTCGTTTTGCGTGGAAAGTAGAAAAACCCAAGGAACTTTGTCCCTGAAAACGTAAACAGATAGTTTTTCCACGTCTGCTCTACACAAATACAACGTAAATAAACTTTATTTTTCCTTATTTTATAACAGAAAATACATTAAAACTCTGAAACTTAAAATCACATATCTCTGGAACCAGGAGAGAGCGCCACAAAATTCAAAGTGTGTACTATTTAGAAATGTATCCTCTACAATATATGTAAAAATGAAAATAATCTGTAAGGTGTAAGTTAATCCAAACATTTACCCATTTTTGTTTCAAATCAAACTTTAACATTAAATATCTCAAAAACTATAAGAGACCGCCGATTAAGTTATAAGGAAAAGTTACTCAGGATCATGTAATTGACAACATATATCAAGATCAAGGTCATCGGCGAGGTGTCCGTTAATGTAAATAATTACTTTAATTTGTGACAAGCGTTAATCACAACTCGCTTATAATCTTCGCAAAATCCCAATAGTATGTTTAGCAGCACACAAAAGTTGAAGCAAGCTTTAATAGTATTATGTGACATATCTCACGCAGCACTTTCCAAGATTTCACCTCTCTCGGTTGTTAGAGAGAGGTTTTTTATAGTTTTTAATCGGAAGTTGTGGAAGTTATTCCAACGTTTCTATTGCGGTCAATCTCCACACTATCAAGTTCATATCGAAGTTCATCAAACATAAACGCAACACAATTGTTTCCCAATATCACCCTTGCCCTTTCATCCACTTTATGCACCGTCAACTTTTCCTCGACATATAGAAAGCTTTCACATGGTAACGTGTTCCAATCCTAATGTTGTATCGGCATTCGTATCTTCGTATATCCAACCATTGTATTGGCATATGGATTGTACATATGAATCTCAATCTTGACGATACGATTGTCAAAGATTGGCTCGCCTCCGATATTCAAGATATCAATCAACCTAAAAAAACCTCACAAAGGTAAAAAAAATACGCCAAGTATATAAAAAAATCCCAACTTGTACGATGTATAATAAACTCACTAACATCTCGTTGAATCTTTTCAAGATATTGATCTCCTGCCAATTGGCGTATTGCCATTATATTAATAGTTTCATTGTTTGACATGTAACAATTAATAAATCTTCTTATAATATTTCTATGTTCAAGACGAAGCAACAATTTTCTGAGAATAGAAGAATGAAGTATACATTGAATTGAAACATTAGCATAGCAAGATATATTATCAACATTTGGAAGTCCTCTTATATGCCATAAAGTAGAATCATTAATATCCTTATCATTAACTTGACATTCCAAGATATTTTTTGATGATATTGCCCAAATTGTATCACGAATCTTGTGAACACGTTGTTTCAAAATATTAATATGTATAAGATCTGGCCTGTATTGTGTTCGCAATCTATTATATTCTATTATAGCTAACTCATTTGCTTTTACAGAAGAGGGATCAAAATTTATAAGGTGCAATCCACTCAGGGTAGTCACTCGTGAAAGAGCGACATATACTTGTCCACAACTGAATATAGATTTTCCAGCTTCCGCAACAGCATGTATTAAACTCAGGCCTTGACTTTTATGAATAGTCATACCATAACTTAGACATATAGGAAATTGTTTTTTTATAACAAATGCTTTATCCATTACGTCGTATCATCGGATAATGGGGAGATACCATCTCAATAGATAAAAACCATGATTTACACATTTTGTAGTCAATATAACAGCCATTAGAATGACCTATTTTGTCTTGATTGTAACAATTATGAGAACATAAATTTTTTTTACGTAGAGTCATTAATGTACAATTTAAAAATTCTTCAAAACAGCACTTCAAATCTTTAATAATGATCTCTTACATTTTACAAAGGAAACTACAGCGCCATGCTTTTGTGGTTTTATGTTTTGATTCTATTAAGGGTAAAATGTTAATTGCTTTACCTTCGGAATCCATTATAATAGGTTTAGAAACATTATATGTATGATAGGTAGTTTCTGCAAAATATAATTCCGAAGAAGCGGTATGTTTATCTTGTCCACAAAACATATTTACATATTCTGTAAATTTTGATGAAGAACATTCCGTTGCACGTGTCAAACAAACTTCCATTTTTTGTTTACATTTATTAAATGTTCTTTTCATTTGTAAAATATAAACTTTTCTTATATAAAAGCACCATTTTACTATACGTTCAGCTTCCAATCTATTTTTGGACAACACGCTCGTAAACAGCAGCAACGCTTTATGAGGTTTTTATACCAGCTGTCTTCGGCTCACTACAATTGGAGCAGACGGGGAAGACCAAGAAAGTAAGAATTTTTTTAGTATATTTAGATAAAAATTTTATTAGAAATGATCTGTACATTAAAAGTTCTTCAACTTTATGAACATAATGGTATCAATAATGTTATGTCCATTTTCAGCAGAACGGGGCACAATGAGCAACACTAAATCGAAAGTGCTGCATACCTACAATCGTCCTACAGCGTACACAAACCTACAGAACATACAAAAAGCCAGTTTTGTTCAAAAATGTGATTTATAAAATATAATATTAGTTATACATATGCAAAGAAGGCCAAAGAATAAATACTATGTATATATCATATCGTTCAAGTATTTCGTACGACGAATCTCAATGATTTTAAAAATTCGCGATTCAACGCGCTGAGCTTCTTTTTAGCGTAACCAGATATCTGATTATTGTCACCCGATACCGCAGTCACTCGTTTTCTCACAAAAATATTGTCTTTCGCGTGCTCCGTGTTTTCATTCAACACGAGTATTTCAATTGGCGCATGCTATTATTTTTGCCGCCATCATATATGCAATCTTACGGTAATTTCCTCTCCTCGAAAATCGAGCAATCATCCTTCTTGGTCAACAATGCGTATCGTTAAATTAGTAATGCTCCGTGCGATGATCGGTAGATAAATGATCTGTGGTTCGTTTCCGATACTCTCTTATATCCTGGCAGTACGCTTGGTAAAAATTCATGTATTGTGTGTACGCGCTTGTCATTACTTGTACGCAATGGTCACGTTGCATTCTATACGAGTAATGTTTACGTTAATAATATTTATCGAAATATCCTATTTTCGTGCCATTTTCGATGTTGCAATATATGACTCGATGAGAATCCCAACAACGATCCTACGTTGTCTCGTTTATTAAAGTTTATTCTATAGACGCATTTGATTTCGCTCTTTAACGTATTATGATTAGTGCAAAGCACTATTGGGTATTCATGTTCTTTGAGATCATCTTCATTCTCTTCTCGCACGATATCTTCGTTAACAACATCGTTGGAATCAACTACGCGTCGATATTGTAAAATTGCACGTTGGAGATACTCATTTATAGCATGTAATTCGTACGACCCCTCGAGAATCGTAATTTCCTTGTCATCGTTATCAAAATAAAATTTATTATTCCAAGCATTCACGTTCGGTATCGTATAATAAGTTTCAAAGTCCGTTAAACCGAGTTTATAATCGTGATCGTAAATCTATAGCTGAAAAGTAACTTACAGCAAGAACGCTATTCTTGCCAGTCAACGTAAGTGTCAGTGACATGCTGGAAAACTGTCGAACAAATACTGAGTCGCAACGGTGAATTGTCAGGCTTTAAATTCATATCGATCATCTACCGTTTGAAGAAGTCATAGACATAAGGGTCAAGCCACAATAGTCCATAAATACATTGATTATAATTTTGATAGGACGTGTGATTGCCCAAGTAACACAGTTTGGTTATATTCGCTGCGACAGTAAAAATGTGGCTAATATAACGTCCTGCCAGCCTTAATTACAGCTATTTGGCAATAAATGCTATTTTGCTGGACTTTTGACTGCAAAAGCGCTGTGACAGCTAATAAAAAGTCAAAAACGCAGCCACAGCTATTTTAACTGTATTAATAGCTGTAAAGTTGCTGTGATAGCGATCAGAAAAACCAAAACTAGCCGCAGCAATTTTAGCTGCATTAATTGGTATGAAGTCGCTGTGACAGCAATAACAAAAGCCAAAATTTAGCCACAGCTATTTTAGCTGTATTAATGATTGTAAGTCAAAACTAGCCTCAGGCATTTTGCTACTTTTGAGATTAGAAAGTGAATAGTTGACAAGTCTTCAAGATGAAAAGAACATTATTAACCGACTTGTAAAAGTTTAGAAAATTCAAAAAAAGTAGTACGTTTTACAAGAAAATTGAACATCGTATAAAGAAAGCTGATATTATGAAATCTAATTTTAAAAGAGCTACAACGTTGGATGAAAAATATATCACCTCAACATCAAATTTACCGCGGAATATTGAAAAATCAACAGGAGCATTGGAGTCTATTTTGTTTAAAGATTTATCGAAGTACAAAAATGTAAATTTTGACTGTTGGAGCAATTGTGATGCTGAATCATCAGACAATGATGATGTACATATTTGAAGATTTGAAGGCCGAGTGTATCAACATACGAGAGGCACTAAAAGAATGGGCAGTGACATTTCATATATGCCATAATGCAATAAAAGCATTACTGGATATTTTGATTCTTTCAAAAATACCAAATATGCCTCGAGATCCGAGGACACTATTGGAAACACCAAGAACAGTAGCTACTATAAAGATGGGAAGCGGACAATATTGGCACAATGGACTAAAGACTTGTCTTGAAAAGTGTTTATCTCATGTAGAGAACCCGATGGACATTGCACTTAATTTTAACATCGATGGATTGCCAATTCACAATAGTTCAAAGATGCAGTTCTGGCCAATATTGTTTTCGATACATGATTCGAATATTGAACCTATGATTATTGGAATTTATTGCGGAGAAAATAAACCTCCAACTCCTGATGAGTTTTTAACCTCTTTTGTCGATGAATTGTTAACCATTTTAAATAATGGCATTATCGTCAATGGATATAAAATTAATATACATATTCGATGCTTCATATGTGATACTCCTGCCAGGTCTTTTATTAAAGGTAATAAGGTACATAGAAAATAGATTTATTTAGACAATGAAATAGAATGAATAAAAATATTTATTATTAGAGTAATTATGTGCACTGAATATTTTTAAATTGTTTTTAATGTGCATTATTTTCTTTTAAATAATTATATTTAGATATTTATTGATTATAATCTTTTTTTACAGGTACTGTTAATTTTAATGGTTATAGTTCGTGTCTAAAGTGTACGACTACAGGTGAATATTATCATAAAGAACATCGAATTAGTTTTCCACGCATAGATATGCCTAGAAGAACTGATGCAACTTTCCGCAACAGAACCGATCCAGATCATCATAAAATGGATACACCTTTGGAAAAACTTCCAATTGACATGATAAAAGGTATTCCAGTATCCGATTCATTGCATTTATTAGACCTAGGTATAATAAAACGGTTATTAACTGGCTACATATATGGAACCTTAAGCTTGAAAACTAAGTGGTCTGCAAATGTAACTAAATTGGTGTCTGATTTTCTCCTTCGGTGTAGAATGCCAAGCGAAATTCATCGAGTTGTTAGAGCACTTGATTGTTTAAAATTTTGGAAAGGGACAGAGTATCGAACCTTTGGTTTGTACTTAGGGCCTGTTATATTGAAAGATTATCTATCCGAAGAAATATACCAACATTTTATGTTATTTTTTTGTGGTGTTGTAATCTGTTATAGCCGGTCGTACTCAAAGTATTTACATGTAGCAGACCAGTTATCTAAAACTTTTATAGAACGTTACATTAAAATTTACGGTATTAATTCTATTAGCAGCAACATACATAATCTTTGTCATTTAGTTGATGAAGTAAAGGATTTCGGCGATTTATCTACCAATAATGCATATCCATTTGAAAATTGTTTACAGAAAATAAAAAAGTTACTCCGAACGGGAAACAAGCCATTGCCGCAAGTAGCTCGACGAAATTTTGAAATTATTAATTTAAAACAAACTAAAAATTATAATAATAATAAATTTCCTATTTTAAAAAAATAAAAATTCTGGCAACAATTGTGATCAAAGTAAATATAAGCATTTTTTTTACAAAGTCGAATTAATGGACGGATTAACACTAACAAATGAAGAGAGAAACAAATGGTTCTTAACAAAAAAAAATGAAATTATTGGTATGAAAAATGCAACGATCTTTGAAAATAAAATTTATATATTTGGTTCATGTTTGAAAGAAGTAGGTAATTTTTTTGAAACGCCAATTGCATCATCTTATTTAAATATATTTTATGCAAACCGCAAGGAATATTTGCCCAAATGGTATGATATAAAGGATATCAAATGTAAATTAGTGGCAGTAGAATATCATAAAGATATTGTATTTTTCCCGCTGATACACACTTTAGATTTATGCAGCAAATCAAATATGTGATGTAATTAAACGCTGAACAAAATTGAATAATCTCTTATTTTAAATTATCATTATTATACAACAATACTTCAGAATTATCGTAATAAACGTAAATAAACATTAAGTAAACTTTTTCTAATCACTTTAAATAAAAAACGCTTTAAATAAAATGTAAAAAGTAAAACATTTTTATAATTTAGTAATAAAACATAGCTTTAACTAAAATTGCACAGTGTATATATTATATAAATAAACATTCATCTTATAACAAATCAGAATTCTTCATTATCATTATCATTATTCACTTCAGTAACAACAATAATTCCACCAGTATTTTCAGTTGTTTCTTCCTCTATATTTTCATAGTGATTGTCATCGCATTGAAGCCTATCATTAGCTTCTTCAGAATTTTCATTTTGTTTACTAAAAATAATTATAAGTAATATATATATTCTTGTAAAAATTGTATTTCTAACTCCTACTCACCTCCGTTGTTTTTGAAGCTGCTTACTTCGGCTAACACTGTTTTTAAGAATCCGTTTCAAAAAACCAATGTTATCGTCAATCGTATAACGTGAGTCGGCTAAGTGTATAATTTTATAAATTGCTTCAGTTATTCGATTGTATTTAAAGAAAGCAATTTTCTTCATTTTTTCTTCTTTCTTTTTTGTAGAACCAGTCCATGAACACAGGGTTAACAATTGTCTTTCAAATAATCGATCCATCAATAAGTACGCTATTTTGTTTCCATCTTTCTTACCAGTCGTGCCTCCGATTTCACTCATCACTTTTATCTAAATAAGCATTAGTATTAGTACTTATTTACAAAATATTGAAAATACTTATTTACGAAATATTGAAAATACTTCTTTACGAAATATTGAAAATACTTATTTACGAAATATTGAAAGTATACAAATAAGAAGCTTACAAATGCCAATTCGAATTCTTGATTACACAGGTTTTTTTCTAAATTATTAATATCCGATTCTATTGCTAGTGATTTCATTTGTTCTATATCCCTTTCAAGGATTTCGCTTTTCAATGGGTCATTTTCAGATTTCTCAATGACGCTGTTGGTTTGATTTTTAATCAGAAGATCGATTAATTTGTCAAATTTGACATGTAGCGCAGATATATCTCGACTAATATAATTTTTCAAATTTTCCAGGTTTGAATTTATCGTGTCAAATTTTTCTTGTACTGAAGAAGAAAACGCCAAAACATTTTCCAATGTATTATACAACATCAAATAAATAAATATTTGAGCGTACTTTGCACAGCGTCTAACGGTTTCTGAGAATTACTCAAGGGCAATGTAGAAATTCCATCATTCTCAATCACAATTGCATCTGTAAATCCCATCGTAGTTTCCAATTCCTGTGAACTTTTTGGAATTTGAACGAAGGTTGGGACACTATCGACTGAATAATTTTCTATATTTTCAATCACGCCTATGTTATTATTTATAATATTATTTTCTGTTATTAAATTATTAAAATCGATATTATCCTTATTCTGGGAACGCTGTATTTGTTTCGAAGAATTCTGCGCCAAATAACTGTAAACAAATATTGTTTTAAGTAATTTTTAAATTTGATTTTGATCTATTTTTCAGGAATATATATCGAATGAATTTTGTCTGAAGGTACAGTTTTATACACATACTAACTTACTTACATTCCAAATAATTTTCAATATATGTGTACTTACTTTTCTTCGTCTTCGGTATCATCAAACCGACTTAAATATTTTTCTGCTTTGATAGCAGCTTGAAATGTAATAAAATTCTTCCTCTTCACGGTGCATTTTTGTTTTGACCAATTATTAAAATCTGGTAAAATGCTTTCATCTTTTCGAAGGTTCAGTCCTTTTCGTCCTGGTGGCCAAAATAATATTCCATTTTCCTCCCAACTCTCGGGCACAACACATAAATTAACTTCGCCATCTTCAATCGTTTCTACAATGATAAACATTTTTAATCTTTTCACCACACAGCACGAAACGGTAGTCAGTTTTTAGGTTATGGCTGTAACATCGATCACGTCGATCACATCAATCGGCGTTGTATATACATGTGCGCGGTGCGCCATGCGCTATGTGGAATAAGTTTATCATGCACATGCACCGTAAGTCGCATGCGCATGGATAGAAAATATAGCCAAAATAGCTGTAATCTGGCTGTAATTTGTATGTCACAGCGAAAGTCAAGAATAACGTGATTATCAGTTTTTTATTAAATTTAGCATATGTCAGCGATGGTCAGCGGATCCATGCGTTCATTTATGCGGCTCTAAAATTATTATTTAAGGATCTGTGTGTAGTTCTGTAATCACTGTACTTATATAAATTTGCGTTCGCTCTAGTATACTTTATATGTACATTATAAATTGTAATAATTTGCAATGATTATTTAATCTTTAAATTTGATTTAAGTTTAGTAAGGCAAAGGTTCCGGGTTGTCAAAGGTTCAATACCAGTTGAAGCCAAAAATTTTTTTTAATACTCTTTTCAATCTTTTTACATAATTTTAAAATTAAAATTTAACTTTCATTGAATATAAATTTACATATGAAAAACATTATCCGTTTATTAGTTTGTTTATCTTTATTACTATCATTGTCGTAATGTGGCTATGACAACATCTATACGGCAAAATAGTTGTGCAGCCAAATGGCTATGACAACGTCTTTATAGCAAAATAGTTGTGCAGCCAAATGGCTATGACAACGTCTTTATAGCAAAATAGTTGTGCAGCCAAATGGCTATGACAACGTCTTTATAGCAAAATAGTTGTGCAGCCAAATGGCTATGACAACGTCTTTATAGCAAAATAGTTGTGCAGCCAAATGGCTATGACAATGTCTTTATAGCAAAATAGTTGTCTAGCCAAATGGTTATGACAACGTCTTTATAGCAAAATAATTGCGCAGCCAAATGGCTATTACAACGTCTTTACAGCAAAATAGTTATGCAGCCAAATGGCTGTGACATCGTTTTCAAAGCCTAAAAATGTTGTCCCACTTTTGCTGTCACAACTTTATTAGAACGTCACAATGACGTTGTGGCAGTAGCTGTGGTAGACAAAAATGCTGCAGTTTAAGCTGCGACAACATTATCGCAGACGTTTTAAAGCTTCATGTGCTACTTGGGTGTATTCTATATTCACCACATTCTGTCCAAAATATCGCACTAATTCATTGGGCAGTTGAAGATTTCCAAAACTATGGAAATATACTACCCGATCTCCCCTCTTTACATGAGCTACCCAATAAATACCGGGACCATCGGCGTCATTCAAATTGACGATACCGCGCTCATTTCGTTGTACGCTGTTTATCGGTAAATTAATTAAAAGTAATTGCATGAAAACGCCTTTTAAGAATGTATACGCATACGTTTTGCCAGTTGTTCTAATTGCACATTGGTTGTTACACCGGCAGGCATTTTTACCTCTTTTTTGACGGTTTTTTTCTTAGCCGTTGTTGAGAACCCTTGTCCACGCTTGTATGGAGCGAGATAAAGTCCGTGACCTTCCATGCCACAATTATGACGCTGCCTTTCTTCGAGCTGACGTTGCGCCGCTTTGCTAGCATTCACCGCCTTTGCGATTCCCGTTGCTCCGCCAGCCAAAGAACCGAGAACTCTCAATAATGGCAAAATTGGCAAGATACTGCCACGGAAATATTCGTTTTTTCAGTCTTTTTCTTCATCGATAACTTTTTTGTTTTTATCTCCATACCGAATTTTGTCTTTGTTTTCATAGCTTCCCAAAAAACAAGATAGTACAAACTTGAAACATGTATACAACGATCATGTAAACACGGACATGTCCTACGACGATTTTTGCACATTTTATCAAAAATGTTGGCTACACAAGTATGGATTCGTAGTGATTGACAAAGACAGTTCACAGATTAATGGACGATACAGAAAAGGATTTAACGATTTGTAATACCGTAAAGTGATTCGGAAGTCGCTATTGACACATCAATCGAGCAACGTCTAAAAATTTTCGTCCGAATTCAATATGACGACGACGATTGACGATCGCGAGAAGATTGCGAAAACGAGCGATTAATTCCGCAAAAATATCGCTTTTTGAAAACTGGTCAAATGAAGAAAGACGTTGCATTGGAGAGGCATTTTAAACCAATTACCGAACCTCTAAAACAGCTTATCAAAAATGCAATCAATGTAGAATCTAATGAAGCGAAAATCGAGCCATTGAGTATGCTCGAAGAGAAGCATGAGAAAAAAGAGTCAAAGTATGGACCAAGCGAACACGATCAAATATATCATTGAACGAATCAATCAAAACGTAAGCGTATGAAGCAATTATCGAATGTAGTTACTTCTACTCCGATAAAAGATGTATAACCAAGTCAAATATTGCACGAAAGACCGTCTCCACCTGTGGATGAAATTTTTGAGACCACACCTGAAACACTTGTGACATCAATTCAACATCTATTACAAAAGCCCGAGGGACAAAATTCATTGCGAAATCACATGAGTCCACTTGGGCAAAAATATGAATTATGTAAAAACAAAACAAACTAAACGGCTCCAAGTTAAAAAACAAATCTTTAAACAGAGCTGAAGGAGCAAATAAACATTGTTCTTATATAAACAAATTTAACGCATTAACAATTGTAGGAACATTTAATTACAAACAAATAAATAAATCACATCATATAAATAATAAATAATACTTGTTACAATAAAAGTCAGAAAAAAGTACTATTAAAAATGATAAACAAACGTTTCTGTCCCAATCTGAACTCTCTTCAGTGTATAAATTAAAAATAGAATATAAAATGAGTAGAGGTCAAAATTCTAAAAGTTCTTCGAAAGACATGGTTCAAGAGTAAAATATAAATACATAGACGATTAGTTGTTATAAAAATCGAAATCCCTCCAACGGCCTCCCAAGGGAATGCATTGTTCACCACATAGTTGTTCCAAAAACTTGCGGGTAACAATTATAGCCCATGGAACTTCTAAAAAATGTTTATATAATGTGGTGGAAAATGCTTAAAATAACAATAATTAGTTAAGACTTATCGATGGAGGGAGGATCAAAACACTCGATAGAACAGGACCGTCACACAACAAGGTCTGTCTAAGACTGCCGCGAAAATAAGAAGCATAAACAATAAACGAAATAAAGACAAACGAGGCATACAGTATAAAATAGAGAGAGATATACCGACTTAAACATGCAAATTAATGCTTTTTTAACTTTTCGATGATCGGAAAATAGGAAGGGTTTAACAATTCCGTGTCGCTCTAGAGGAACATTTTAGTTTTTTTTATATGCAGCATCTCCGATGTAAGCCTGCGATGGTAACAAGGTTCGCTATCTAATACTTGTATATTATCGCAATCAAAATCATAGTTTTTGTCGGTTCTGTGATCACGGAACTCTATGGGCAAGATCTATAGATGTGGTTGCGATGTTCTGCAATTCTTGTTTTTAAGAATCTCTTAGTTTGACCCACGTAAGATGCCTCGCAATCAACACAATCAATTTTATACACCACGTTGTTTAAATGAGAATGTGGAAGAGGATTTTTATACCCTTTAATAAAACCTTTGAGATTGTCAAGACAGATGTAAGCTAAGGACAGGTCGGCGTTCGTCGTAAAGGGTTTAAATTTCTCAGATATTGATTTAATATAAGGTAGTAGAAAAAAGTGTCTAGAGTCAGAGTCAACGTTATCCACTATTGTGGTATCCTTACGATGTAAAAAATGTTTTAGTCTCAAGTTGATAGTATCAAAAATGAATTTAAACGGATAGTTATTATTTAGAAAAATGTCAATAATGAGTTTAAGTTTTTTTTGATGGAAAATGGGATGTGAAAGGAAAAAATCTCTATCTACACGTCTAATTATTGTACCATTTTTATGGCAGAGGGGATGTTGAGAGTGATAATTTAAATATCTGCTCGAGAATGTAAGTTTATGGTATCAATCACAAATAAGATAATCCCTTTTGGCAATGATAGTAATGTCCAAAAAATTAAAAGTTTTATTGAGGCCAACTTCCATCGTGAATTGTATTCTGGGGTGAAATAAATTGAAAATATCCAACACGTGCTCGAAAAATGCTGAAGGAACCGCTAACGCTATATCATCTACGTATCTAAAGTAGAAGGGTACATTAATAGAAAGGTTTTTTAGGGCCTCATTCTCAAGATCTTGTAATACCACGTCGGAAATGATTGGAGACAAAGGAGAGCCCATTGGTGTGTCAAAGATTTGCTTATAAATTTTCCCATTAAAGGTAAAAAAATGTAGAGTTCAAGATCAGCCTCAAAGCCAACACGAATTCATCCAACGGAATGTTTGTGTTAGAGGAAATCAAATTCCATCTCTCTCTAATGCCAACAATAGCCAGATCCAGTGGAATATTCGCGAAAAGCGATACTACATCAAGAGAGACAAGTTTATAGTGTTCCTCCAACTTTAGTTGGTAATATACGACACTTTTAGTTACACTTAGATGAGGGCGCTAACCCGTCGGAGTTCGCCCGTCGCTTTAGGATCCTCTTAAACGTGCAAATTAATGCTTTTTTAACTTCTCGATGATCGGGAAATAGGAAGGGTTTAACAATTCCGTGTCGCTCTGGAGGTTTAAAGAACATTTTAGTTTTTTTATATGCAGCATCTCCGATGTAAGCCTGCGATGGTAACAAGGCTCGCTATCTAAAACTTGTATATTATCGCAATCAAAATCATAGTTTTTGTCGGTTCTATGATCTGTGATCAAGGAACTCTATGGGCAGGATCTAGAGATGTGGTTGCGATGTTCTGCAATTCTTGTTTTTAAGAATCTCTTAGTTTGACCCACGTAAGATGCCTCGCAATCAATATAATCAATTTTATACACCACGTTGTTTAAATGAGAATATGGAAGAGGATCCTTATGCCCTTTAATAAAACCTTTGAGATTGTCAAGATAGGTGTAAGCTAAGGACAGGTCGGCATTCGTCGTAAAGGGTTTAAATTTCTCAGATATTGATTTAATATAAGATAGTAAAAAAAACTGTGTAGAGTCAGAGTTATCCACTGTTGTGGTATCCTTACGATGTAAAAGATGTTTTAGTCTCAAGTTGATAATATCAAAAATGAATTTAAACGGATAGTTATTATTTAGAAGAATGTCAATAATGAGTTTAAGATTTTTTTGATGGAAAATGGGATGTGAAAGGAAAAATACTCTATCTACACGACTAATTATTGTACCTCTTTTATGGCAGAGGGGATGTTGAGAGTGATAATTTAAATATCTGCCTGAGAATGTATGTTTATGGTACCAATCACAAATAAAATAATCCCTTTTGGCAATGATGTTAATGTCCAAAAAATTCAAAGTTCTATTGAGGCCAACTTCTACATCGAAATACTACATCGAGAGAGACAAGTTTATAGTGTTCCTCCAACTTTACTTTAGATAATTT